CCTATACCTGGGTCAGGCGGGACGCACAGGTGACCGGCACTTTCAGCACTAGTAGGCAATGCATACATGGCAGTGAGAATAGCATCATAGTCAAGAGCATATATATCGACCCTCTGCCTAAGCAACTCCACCCAGTCGGGAAGCTCAGCCTCGTCGCCAAACACGGTACGCCAGGCGTCGCTCAGACGGGCGAAGCAGCGGGACGGTGTATGACTACGTGTCCCACAAGGCTGACCAGTCCGAGTACCAGTGCGTATCAAGTAAGAGCAGCGAACAGCACTGAGAGACCCTCCACTCTGAGCGTACCACTCACGAAGCCGGCGAGGCGTGAGAGACACGCGAGAGGGTCGCGGGAGCTGCATCTGGCCGCCACCACGAGTAGAAGCAGCAGGAGTGGTAGTAGGAGTAGCGCCGCCACCCCTACAGCCCCAACCAGCGTGCCACTCACGCAGCTGCTGGGGCGTGAGGGACTCACGCAGGCGTCGCTGGGGCTGCATCTGGCTCCGCAAGTAGAAGCAGGAGCAGGACTACCAGCAGGAAGGCAGGCAGCCAGGCAAGCCAAAAGGCAGTTAGGCAGGCAAGCAGGCGACGCGCAGCGTGCTAGCAGGGCAAGAGCTCACCAGTGGTGGGAAGAGTAGGCTCGGCAACTCAGCGGCTCGGCAGCTCGGCGGCTCGGCGGCTCGGGCGACTCGGGCGGCTCGGCGGCAAGGCGGCTCGACAGCAACTGCAGCTCAGCAGCTCGGCGACTCGGCGGCTCGGCGGCAGGGTGGCTCGGCAGCAACAGCAGCTCAGCAGCTCAGCGACCCGGCGGCTCGGCGGCAGGGCGGCTCGGCTGCTGGGCGGCTCGGGTGCAGGGCGGCTCGGCGGTGGGGCGGCTCGGCTGCTGCAGGTGAGCGGCTCGGCTGCTGCAGTGGGAGATGAAGGAGGAGGAGAAGCAGGGGAGGCCACACACCTGACACCCCTCTGCTGCGGCCCCCGAAGGAGCCGCGACGGGCGACGGGAAAAGGGGGGGGGGTGGTGGGGGCCGGTAGGTGCAGCGGCGGGGCAAGCAGGTGCAGTTGCGGGGCCGGTAGAAGGGGACGGCAGGAGCCGTCAGGAGGGGACGGCGGGGCCGTTAGGAAGGGACGGCGGGGCCGTCACGAAGGGACGGCGGGGCCGTCAGGAGGCGACCGGGCCGCAAAGGGGCGGCTGGGCCGGGATGGGGCGGGGCCGCGACGGAGGCAGGCGGCGGGGCCGCGTAAGGGCCTGGGCGGGGCCGCGACAGAGCCGTCAGCGGGGCCGCGTGAAAGCCGGGGCGGGGCCGCGCGAGAGCAGGCGGCGGGGCCGCGAAGGAGCCGGGGCGGTGCCGCGTGAGAGCAGGCGGCGGGGCCGAGTAAGGGCCTGGGCGGGGCCGCGACAAAGCCGTCGGCGGGGCCGCGTGAAAGTCGGGGCGGGGACGCGTAGAAGCCGGGGCGGGGCCGCGCGAGAGCAGGCGGCGGGGTCGCGAAGGAGCCGGGGCGGGGCCGCGTGAGAGCAGGCGGCGGGGCCGCGTAAAGGCCGGGGCAGGGCCGCGACAGAGCCAGCGGCGGGGCCGCGTGAAAGCCGGCGACGGGGCCGCGTAAGGGCCGGCGGCGGGGCCGCGTCAGTGAAGGCGGCTGGGCCGCAGGGGAAATGGCGACCCGAGGGTTCGCTAAAAAAAATCGCGCCTCGGGGGGCGCTTCGGTGGGCCCAAAAAAAACGGTCCTTAGAAGGACCCGCTCTATACCATCTGAGAAAAAGCAAACAGGAATGAAATGACTAAGTCAGGGTTGGGTACAAATACAACCCTAGAAAGCTGTACCCCATATGTGCTACCCCACTATAGCCTACAAACATGCATCAGCTATAGTAATCTGACAGGTCTTTCCCTCCTGGTACCCAGTGGAGTCTCCGGCGTCCAGTCTACGGTCTCCGCCAGGCGCCACGTGAGTGGCACGACACAGTGAGGACTACGCTGGCGGCACTTGGGTTTGCTCCTTCTACTGCCGACCCGTCGCTGTTTCTGCGCACCGACACCTCTCTGCCGCCGTTCTACATCCTCGTGTACGTCGACGACTTGGTCTTTGCCACAGCTGACACTGCTGGACTCGCCTACGTGAAGTCCGAGCTGCAGAAGAGACACACGTGCACAGACCTGGGTGAACTGCGTAGCTACCTTGGCTTGCAGATCATCCGGGACAGAGCACGCCGCACCATTACCCTGACTCAGTCACACATGGTGCAGCAGGACCTTCGGCGCTTCGGCTTCACGTACTCCTCGCCTCAAGCCACTCCTCTGCCTACTCGCCACTCGCTCTCAGCTCTGCCTTCGGATGAGTCCGTAGAGTCGAGTGGCCCGTATGCAGAGCTTGTTGGCTGCCTCATGTACCTGATGACCTGCACACGACCTGACCTTGCATACCCTCTTAGCATTCTCGCACGTTATGTTGCTCCTGGGAGACACCGACCAGAGCACATGGCTGCAGCGAAGAGGGTGTTGCGCTACTTGTGCAGTACGTCGGGCATGGGGCAAGTGCTTGGAGGGCGCAGTCCAGTGGTCCTCACTGGGCACGCGGACGCTTCTTGGGCTGACGACCAGGCTACGCAGCGGTCGTCACAGGGTTTCACCTTCAGCCTTGGTTCCGGCTCTGTTTCGTGGCGGGCTACCCGCTCGTCTTCTGTTCTCGGCTCCAGTTGTGAGGCTGAGATCTACGCGGGGCTATGGCTGCACAGGAGTTACGCTGGCTCACCTACCTGCTGACCGACCTTGGAGAGCCGCCCCGTTCTCCTCCAGTCCTGTACGTAGATAACAAGGCCATGCTGGCCTTGTGTCGAGAGCAGCGACTGGAGCACAGGACAAAGCACATTGCTCTCCGCTACTTTCTTGCTCGTGAGCTACAGCAGCGTGGACAGTTGCGACTTGCGTACGTGGCCTCTGAGGCTAACACTGCTGATGTCTTCACCAAGGCACTTGCGCCTTGTGATCATCAGCGTTGTTGCACGCAGCTGGGTCTTGTGCCTGTTTTGCCTCACTTGCTCGCTTCTTGACTTTGCTTGTACCTTCACCTATATATACTCTTGCTCTTGCTTGCTTGACTCTTGTATATCTTTATATATGATCTTGCATGTGAACTGGCCTTGTGGCCCTTGAACTTGTGCTCGGAATGTGTGGTGACTTTGTGATCCACCCTGAGCTTTGCTTTGCTTTGCTTGACTGGTCGTGTGACCCCTTGTTCTCCCCCACTTTGCCTATGGGGGTGTGTCAGAACATTATAGCTTACTTAGTTGTGTAGGCTATAGTGGGGTATCTCGTAGGGGGTACAACCGAGTTAGGGTTCCTATTTGTACTCACTTCGTTCATAGTCATTTCATTCTCGTTCAGATTTTCCTCATACCCCGTTTATAAGAGACACCCGTATAATAGACAACCCCTGTCTACTATTCAACAATGTCTTATATCCGGGTGATGACGGTACTAACATATTCCTCGAGTTCCATTACTGCACAGCTTCCAGTGGTCTGGTGAGTAGATTCGTGAGTTCTGAAGAATGAGGTTTCGGGTTCGAACCTTGTCGCTTGGTGTTGTGCTGCCTTCTCTCTCGGAGGAGAATGTTGGCGAAAATTCTGCCTGATTTCATGAATCTAGGCAATTTCGTCAAGTAAAACCTCACTACATTGGGATTCGAATCAGGGCCCCTTGGTAAAAGTTGGCTGAAATTTCAGGCTTAGGGCGCTTCACCTCTCAGTTCGAACAGCACGCTCGTTCGAATAGGCGAAATGTTACATCTTTCGCCACTCCTCGTATGGGTGTTCGTGACGTCGCTAGTCGGAAATTTCGCGAATCTGAACAGAGCTGTCACATGGGGCACGAGGCTCTATCGTACATTCCGCACGTTCGAACAGAGTGTTCGAAAAAGTTGGGATTGGTGACAGGGATTCCGCAAGGACGACTGATTTATTGGTTAGCAGGCTTCGGGTCGCACACATACCGTATGTTTGCGACCATTGCAAATGTCGCCATGCAGACGACTAATTTTTTTTCTTGCGACGTTTCTCGAAGTCGTCCAACACTTGGCGACGTCGCATGTTCGAACAGGCTGTCACCTCTCGTCACGAGCTGTCACATTCACCAGGGTGTTCAAATTTGTGTTCGAAACTCGTCGGGAAACTGTTCGTACAGTGAATTCGTTACGTATGTTCGGATTTGGGCCTTCCAGCCCCGAGGTGATGCGCCCTTAGTACAAGAAAGCTAGATTAAAAATCAGTGTGGGGATCAGGCCCTCAGATTAGGCTGATTTTGTAGCTGTGATTTTCGTTTTCCCTGAAAATTCAGCATATGCTTCAAATTTGCACTGAAATTTCAGTATGACCTACCTTGCAACACTGACCATTTTGTGTGTTGCTGTACAAGTAACACTGACGAATCAGTGTAGTGAGGCGAGTCACACTGAAACGGACTTGACCGCGTGGGGGGAGGGGGAAGGGAGGGGTGGGGAGGAGGGGGGGATAGGGTACGCCTGTAGAGTCTGTACTGTACCTTCGCGTGATTCACGAAACCCCACCCACACACTTGGAATTTGAGGGCCTGGTGGGGATAATTTTTTAAACTTTCCAATCAGCCTCGAGGCCTAAAAAAACCCTGAAAATCGGCATTCAAACCCCAAATCAGGGTAAAATTCCTGCTATCTGAGGGCCTGGGTGTGTCTGATACGAGGTGTAGGAACACGCTCTTAGGGTGCATTCCTGGAGCGCGTCACATAAGCCTTGCATCTCAAACGACGAGATACGGTACAATGTGGTCGAAACGTTCGATACATGGTGTAATGTGGTGCAGAGCGATACATTGCTTTCGTGACGCCTAAACCGAGTACATGTCTGTGCAGGAATGCACCCTTATAAAAGGTGGGCTCAAACCCCACCCCACCCCACCCCCCCCCCCCCCTCCCCCGCCCTTCGATTTCCCTCTTCTTCCTCTTCCCCCCCTCCTCCCTCGTCGAGCTCGCTCAGTAGCGCAGGTTGCGGTGCACGCAGGTCTCGAGGAAGGTGGGCTCGCCCTCCTCTGCGCCACCCTTCTGCCGCCGCCCCAGCGTCTCCAGGTGCTTGCTCACCCACGACAGCACGTCCTTCATCGCCACGTCCATGCGCATCTGACGGGGGCAGGGGGGAAGGAAGGGAAAGCAAGGACTGTGGTGTGAAAGCTCACGCATGCATGTGTGTGTGCAGGTGCTTGCTCACCCACGACAGCATGTCCTTCATTGCCACAGCCATGCGCATCTGAAGGAAAAATGGGTGTGGAGCGAAAAAAGGAAGAAGGAAAGGGGAAATGGTGGAGTGCGGTGTGAGGGTATGATCATGTATGAGTGCAGGTGCATCCACACACATCTGAGGGAGATGGGCGAGTGGTGAGGGGGGAGCGCGATGTGAGGTGCGTGCATACAGGTGCAGCTTGGGGGGCTCACCCACAATACCACATCCTTCGTTGCCACGTCCATGCGTATTGGCAGGGTGCCGAGTGGAGGTGGGGGCATGGGGGGAGGGATGGGATAGCAGGGAGTGTAGTGTGAGAGGGTGATGCGTCTCCAGGTGCTTGCTCAACCACGAGTGCACATCAATCATGGCCACATCCATGCGCATCTGGGGTGGGCGAAGGGGGAAGGGGATGAGATGACAGGGAGTGTCATGAACACTCACCTGTTCAATCGAACCACCCCACCTGCTCACCATTCCCCACCTGCTCACCATTCCCCACCTGCTCACCATTCCCTACCTGCTCACCATTCCCCACCGCCCCATAACCCCACACGTGCCCACAACGCCCCACCTGCTCATAGGCGAGGTCAAGGCACTCGGCCTCGAGCTTGGCGGTCTTGCGGTCCTCCTCATGCGCGTTCGATGGGTACAGCTCCAGCACCGCTGTTCCGGGCAGCAGGAATATTATGTTGTCCAGTGCCCGGTCACCCCACGGACCAATCACGATGTCCGCTCGGCCCAGGCCCAAAACCTGTGGGGAGTGAGTTGCAGCAGGGGGACAGAAGACTGGGTGAGAGCTTATAACGAGGATAGGGTTGGGAACAGAAGAAACCTATGAGATGAAAAAAGTCTAGTGAGTTCAGAACAGGGAAGAGAAAGAAGCGAGAGAGAGCTGAGAGAAAAGCAGTGGAAAGGGAAGAGGAAAGGGAAGGAGAAAGGAAGGTGGAAGGAGAGAAGCGGAGGAGAGAAGAAGGTGAGAGAGGGCAGGACGGGAGGGCAGGCCTTGTGCAGCATCCCTTCATTCGTGCCGTGCAGCACACCTGCCCTCAGCCCACTACACTCGTCTCTCACAGTCAATCCGTGTGTTTCTGTGCCCATCCCTCCCTCCGTACCTCTTGCTGTGAGACAACTCACCTTTTGTCTGGGCAGAACTCCCGTGTGGGCAACTCACGGTGGCGACTTCACAGTTGAGTCACAAGAGAAGACGGCACACTCCTGGCGAATCCACGGCGTGCGCGCCCAGGGAGACGACGGGGGCAGCCCTCTCCTGGCATGGACACCCAAGAGCTCTCTTCCCTTGACACTTGGCCCACGGCCACAGGCGCTCACCTTGACGCGGCAGAACTCCCCTCGTGGCACGGTGGCCACCTGGCAGGAGAGCGAGAAGACGGCGCACTCCTGGCGGATCCAGGTGGCGGCGAGGGAGAAGTTGAACCACGGCATGCGCGCCCAGTTGTCCGCGTCGCCCGCAAACGCTATGCGCACGTCCATGCCCTCCTCGCCCAGCAGTGCCGGGGGGTCCTCTGCTGCTGCCACTGCTGGCACTCGCGTGCTGTGGACAGTGGAAGCAGTGGGACGGGGGAAGAGGGGAGGGTTGAATGGCCTCAGATCTCGTGCATGAGTGCTGTGTCCATGCACTCCTCTTCCAGCAGTGGAGGGAGGTCCTCTGGTGCTGGCACTGCCGGTACTCAGGTGATGTGGGGGTGGGGAATGATGGACACACGGAGGGAAGAAGGTGGAAAGCGAGCAGTGCGGAAAGTCACGCGGCATGAGTTCTCTCATATGCATTCTTGTGAATCTTGAAATGCTGGGTGAGGCGAGGGTTGAGGCGCCTCAGAACTCGTGTCATTTCACATGAGTTCTCTCATATGAGTTCCTGTGAAGATTGAGATCACGGGTGGCAAACATAAAACTCTTGTGGAGTTGGAGATCATGGGTGCAGCCCTGCAAAAAGGCCAAATAGTGGCTTTCTGCCAGTGAGTGGCGTTTGTGTAAAGAGTGCTCACTCAAGGCACCACTGAAAAAAACGAACTCACTCAAAGAATTCACGTAATTCTCGAAAAAGCCACTCACTGAGTGGCAGAAGGCACGCCACAATGCAGCGCATTCACACACCCTGGGCGTCCCTGCTGCATTCACACACCCTGGGCGTCCCTGCTGCATTCACACACCCTGGGCGTCCCTGCTGCATTCACACACCCTGGGCGTCCCTGCTGCATTCACAACTACTGCCGGCACATTCACTGGCTACACTCTCTGCTCAACACGCCAATCACGAGCAGAGAATTCTAAAACTTTTCAGAAGCGCCACTCACTGGCAGAAGGCTCGCACGATGCAGCGCAGTTGCTGCACTGATCGGCGTTAAGGTGCCCCGCTGATGCAGCACCACCGCGTTCTCCAGACATTGCTTTGAGTCGACTCAAACATACACACACACACACCTCAAGACGCAACCCACAAACACAGTATTCCAACACTCTTCAAGGCGCCACTCACTGGCAGAAGGCACGGACAATGCGGCGCAGCTCTTGAGCGTCGCTGCTGCACTCATCGGCGTTGAAGGTGTCGCGCTGCCGCAGCACCACCGCGTTCTCCAGACACTGCGGCGTCACCCCGTCCGGTGGCTTGAACGGCGGCGCTGCTCCCGGCCCCAACACTGCCTTGAGCAGGTTGCTGGCCCACGCTGATATCTGAGGGGTGGGCGTGGGGTGACAGTGGAAAGGAGGGAAGGGAAAAGGGAGACGGAGAAGGGGGAACGGAGAGAAGAGGAGGGGGGTGAGAGGGGATTCGTTGGTGCATGTGTGTGAGAGGAAGGGGAAGTGCGCGGCTTGAGCGACTGTTGCCTTTCCTGCCGCGCAGCACCACCGCAATCGCCAGGCACTGTGAAGGCTGGCACTGCCCTCGGCCACACACATGCACTGCCCTCGGCCACACACATGCACTGCCCTCGGCCACACACATGCACTGCCCTCGGCCACACACATGCACTGCCCTCGGCCACACACATGCACAGTCCAAACCCACATACGGTTGGCCAACCCACCCACTTGCATCCGGAGCATGCCGTCGTGAAAAAGCACGAGGGCCGAAGCAGCTGTGGGAGCGAGGGAGAGGGGGACGGAGGCATACACATCCCGCCCTCCACACAGCAGCGGCCTCAGCAGCAGGCAGCCCACCTGCGTGCGGAGCATGCCATCCTGGAAGAGCATGAGGCGGGCGGGGCCGAAGCAGCCGTGGGAGCGGCGCCACGTGGCGAGGGAGGAGGCGAGGTGCAGCAGTGTGAAGCGGCCCTCGAAGCCCCACTGGCTGTGCGCGATGAAGGTGCTGCCTGAGAGGTGCCCCGCGTCCGGGGGCACGGAGGCGAAGTCGAGCAGCGTGTACTGGTTGCGCGCCGGGTCGTCCATGTCCTCGTCGTTGTCCCCCTGGCCGGTACCAAGGTTGTTGCGTGGCGTGACGGTCAACGAGGGAGGGAGGGAGGGAGGGAGGGAGGGAGGGAGGGAGGGAGGGAGGGAGGGAGGGAGGGAGGGAGGGAGGGAGGGAGGGAGAGAGGGAGGGAGGTAGGGAGGGAGGGAGGGAGGGAGGGGGGGGAGGGAGAGAGAGAGGGAGGGAGAGAGGGAGAGAGGAGAGGATGGTGGAATTGTGACAGGCAGAAAACAGTTATGGGAATTTGAGTGCTTACTGACATGTTGAATAGAGGTGCACACTTTCCACACGCATGCACGCACACACATCACCCACACCCACACCCACACCCACACCCACACCCACCCACTCACACATCAACCACACCCACTCACACCTTGGGGCACATGGTGTGTTTTTTGGCAGTGCAGGTGGGCACTGAGCGATCTCAGTGGTGATGTGATGTGATGAGGGAAATGCTTGCTGTTGAGGGATCATCGGGCACCCCCCTCTCTCCCCTCCCCCACCTCCCCCCCACACACATACACTAGTGTGCGTGCATGCGCGCACACACATACCTTGATGCACATGACGTGTCGGTTGACGGTGTGCGTGGGCACTTGGGCGATCTCCGTGGTGATGAGGGGGTGCTGGAAGGTGAGCTGCTTCAGGAACTGCTTGCTGCCGCGGTGCTCAAACGCGTCAAACACCGGCTCAAACACCATGTGCGCCGCCGTGCTCAGCCGCCGCCGTCTCACCACCTGATGTGTGTGAGAGGGAAGGAAGAAACATGCAGAGAGGTGCATGATGGCATTGCTGCTCAAATCCGTCAACCACCGGCTCAATCACCATGTGCTGTGCGCTGCTGTGCTTAGCCTGCACCGCTGCACCACCTGATTGTTGTGATTGAGGGATGAGGAAACATGCAGGGAGCAGCGTCAAGACTCAAGCCAGCTGTGCTTTGAGACTTGAATGTGCACTAGCGCAAAGACCATGTGCGCTATTGTGATCAGCCTGCCGTGCTCAGCCTGCCGTGCTCAGCCTGCCGTGCTCAGCCTGCCGTGCTCAGCCTGCCGTGCTCAGCCTGCCGTGCTCAGCCTGCCGTGCTCAGCCTGCCGTGCTCAGCCTGCCGTGCTCAGCCTGCGCCGCCGCACCACCTGATTGTGTGCAAGAGCAATGAGGAACGAGATGCAGACATTTGAGGTGATTACAGACATTTGAGGTGATTACAGACATTTGAGGTGATTACAGACAACACTGCTGTGAACTCCATTGTATTGTGACTCTCCTCAACACCGATACTGCACACTACAACAACAACAAGGACTCACCTGACTGACTTTGACACAGGCTGACATCACAAATGTGCATTGCCAGACCTTGACATTTACTATCACTCAATGTACATTGATTCAATATGACTCGCCCCATGGGTTGGCGCCCCCCTGATTTGAAAAAACGGCCGTTTAAAACCAAACGGAAAGCACTTCCTGAAACCGTATTAAACCGTTTAGATCGGCCTTTTTTGACAGGAATTTTCCAAACATACGGCCATTTTCAATAACCCTGCATCCCTTGCATGTACTGGTTGACTTTGACTGATTGACTCGCCTTGACCATTCCCTGCATGCCCTTATTGACTCGCCTTGACCATCCCATGCATGCATCCGTTGACTCGGATCGACTCGCCTTGACCATCTTGTCTCGTTCGAAGTAGGTGACGGCCTCGGATGTGTTGCGCAGTGACATGTACCCCAGCATGATGGCAATGTCGTTCATGCACACGGACCTGAGATCAAGGGGTAGAACAGCACACATACAGAGAAGCAAACAGCACAATTGACACACGTGTGGTGGCATGCAGGAGGCTAGTGAGACATGGATGGACCCCAGCATGTTGGCAATACCGTTCATGCACATGGACCTGGGGTTGGAGGGGCGTTACAGCACACATGCACATGCAGAGGGACAGCACAGATGCACATGCAGAGGGACAGCACAGATGCACATGCAGAGGGACAGCTCCCTGCCAGTATCACTATTCAACACCAGGCGCTCACCTGGAGTTGTCGTGGCTCCCGCGGGACGACAGCCCGGACGACGTGCCGTAGTCGAGCTTGGTGGGGTCCTCCATCAGCAGCGGCGGCAGCCCCGACAGCTGCGTCACCACCAAGTTCATGGTGATGTCTTCGCAGTTCTTGTTGCGCTCCACGTACTCGCGCACACGCTGCGGCATGATGCAGGTGTACGCGCGCAGGTAGTCGCCGTGCATGAGGAACATCTTGGTGAGCACGATGCTGTACTCCTGCCGCGGCGTCAGCACGTATGTCATCTGCCCGCTGCGCGGCCCGTTGACCTCGCGGTAGTGCGCGCGCGGGAAGAAGCCGACGAGGCGGTACTTCTCCTCCTGCCACCGCTCAAACGCCACTCGCAGCGCACCTGGATGCACCTCGATGTCGTCGTCACACATCAGCACTGCCTCTGTCTCCAGGGAGCTGGGGGAACACAATGCAATGCAGTGAGAGGGGCACGCGTGAATGGGGAATCAAGAGGACAAGAACGAGGCAGGGCAAGAAAGAGAATGGCAGGGCGAGAAAGAGAATGGCAGGGCGAGAAGGGAGGAGTATGGCCATCTTTCCACTGACCGGATGGGTTTGAAGCGGTCGTTGAGCGAGTCGATGCCGGAGTAGAGGATCTCGACGGGCTTGGACACGTTGAAGTAGGCGGGGTGGAAGGGCGTCACGCGCGTGTTGCCCCACACGATGTACACCTTGTGCACAAACTCAAAGCGCGCGTAGCGCCGCACAAAGTAGAGCATCAGGTCGAAGCGGTCAAAGCAGTTGATGATCACACTGAACTTGTCCGTTATCGGTGCCTTGCTGCCCGGTTGGGGAGGGGAACGGGGGTTGGGAGTGACAGGAAGGAAGGAGCGCACGATGACGCTGACGAGAATTTCAAGACGGGGTAGAAGCGGTGAAAGCAGCTGATGATCACGCTGAGCTTGTCCGTTATGGGCAGCTTGCTGTCCGGTTGGGGTGGGACATGGGTATGGGTTTGGTAGGGGGAGTAGCGAGTGAGAGGAGGGAAGCGAAGGTGAGAACGGTGGAAGCAGTATTATCACATTGGACTACTGTATGTCTTGTGCTTTCAACCTGCCTCACCAGAGTCTGCTGCACTCTACGGAAGCAGTCAAGAGACCACTCACTCACCACTCACTCACTATACACACACCACTCCCTCACCACCACACACAAAGTTATTCTCTCTCCACGCACACGCCACTGTCTGGAAACACAGAGGCCGGAGGGACGCACCGGGCATACGCCATGTAGTTCCGCTGGCACTGCGGCGCCAGCTGGGGCGGCTCCGAGGGCGACCCTGCTGCTGCCGCCGCTGCTGCTGCCAGCCGGGCAGCAGTCGCCACCGCCTCCAAGCTCTCCCCCGCCCCCCCAACCCCTCCACTCCCCCCACCACCAGCCTTCTCAGCAGCAGCTGCAGTGGCAGCAGCGGTGGTGTCGAGGGTGGAGCGGGAGTTGAAGGCGGAGGAGGAGGAGGCGGACTTGGAGGATTTGAGCGCCTGGCGGTGCAGGATGGAGTAGACGTCGTCATACACCTCCCACCACCGGTGGTCGAACGCCCTCGTTGTGGGGAACTGCCGTGGCGCAAGGGAGGACGTGGGGACGGGGGGGAAAGGGAGAGAATTTTGAAAGGAACGGGAGGGGAAAGGAGGGGGGAGGGAGGAGGAGAAGGAGGAGGAGGAGGAGGAGGAGGAGGAGGAGGAGGAGGAGGAGGAGGAGGAGGAGGAGGAGGAGGAGGAGGAGGAGGAGGAGGAGGAGGAGGAGGAGGAGGAGGAGGAGGAGGAGGAGGAGGAGGAGGAGGAGGAGGAGGAGGAGGAGGGGGAGGAGGAGGAGGAGGAGGAGGCACCCAAGCGGGGGAGGTGAAGCACACACACCTGGCGGTCGACCATCATGTTCCAGGGCTTGGTGTTGCCCGAGAAGTGCAGCACCTTGAGCTTGGGCTCGATGAAGAGGCGCCAGCCGGGCGACACGGAGATGCGCACGAGCGCGTTGTACGTGTAGTCGATGTGGTGCACGGGGCCCTGCTGGTACCACGACGAGAAGTAGCTGTTCAGGAAGCCCTGGTCGCCCACGTTGGGTGAGACGAGAGTGGCGATCTTGGAGAGCATGTCTTTGAACATGGCGCGGTTGGGCTCCACCACCATCAGCCCGCTGTTGAACTTGTCGGGCGGCAGCGTGTCGGGCGCCGCGGACAGCTGCGGGCGGTGGAAGAGGTCGTCGATGCTGTGCAGCACGAGCAGGTCCGAGTCCAGGTAGATGAGCTTGCGGTAGCGCACCATGTTCCACATCAGCAGCTTCGAGTACCTGGTGGGTGCAGGGGTCGCACAGACGCGGATTGGCGAGTCAAAGGACACACCCAATCAGACCGTGGTGGTACCGCACCATGTTCCACATCAGCAGCTTCGGGTACTTGGCGAGAAGGGTTTTGGAAACTGGTAGGTTGTTTCCTCTAACCCAGAAGTAGATGAGCTTGCAGTAACTCATGTTTCATATGAGCAGCTTCGAGTACCTGCGTGCAGGGAGGCAGGGAACGGACACATAAGCTTGCGGTAACACACCACGTTGCGCATCAGCTAGGTGTACCTGAAGAGAAGAGAGGGGTGAGATGGTCACATGATGTGTAGTGAGAATGGGTCCTCCTGGGTCATTGGAGGACACGAGCAGGTCAAGGTCGAGGTAGATGCGCTTGCGGTGCGGTAGGTAGCACACCATGTTCCACGTCAGCAGCTTGGGATACCTGCGAAGGGGGGAGGGAGGGAGGCAGGGATGAGAGAGACGAATGAGGTGGAGAGTGGATGATCACGGTGTCAACACCGTGTTCCCCACTGACCAACTCTTCGCCAATGGTCATGTTGAGCAATCAGTCCTGTATCCAGTCATGCGTCGGTCGGATCCCAATTGGGTGATTCACACCTTGATCCAGATAAGCAGCTTGAAGTACCTGCACGGTTCAAGCACAAACGAGCCTCAGTGAGCGGGAGGGAAATGTCTTCCCTCACTGGCACACACACAAGCATGGCTTGCTGCTTGCCAGACTGAATGCTTCTAAGAACAAATGCCAACTCAAGAAGGTTATTCCTTTTTAGACGTCTCAAAGCTGCTAGGAACATGTGGCTCGTACCTGCAAAGCTTGGACATTGCGAGTCTTTTCGCGGTAACAGCAAAGGGATCAGGCACGGGTTCCAGTATCGTTCTTTGAGTACTCTAGGCACAGGCACGCGCCTAGAAATCGGCTCTTACCTGCACGGCTTACCTGCACGGCTTGTTGATGGCAAGTCGGTCCGCCGTGACGGCGAACGGATAAGGCACGGGCTCCAGAATGGGCTCGATCTTCGCCCCCAAGGCTACCAGCGACTCTAGCGTGCGATTGGAGACGTTCATGGTGAGTATTACGATATCGTGAGGCGTGCCTGTACGGCGTACGGAGTGTACCATCACCATCGCTGCCTCTGCCATGACGTCATCGCACAACAGCGTGACGTAAGCGTAATTGTTCCGCGAACCGCCTGGAACGGAAGTCGCGCTAAGGCCGACTCCGGTCCCGATTTCACCCTCGCCGTCACCTCGTGCTAATAACGGGCGAACACTAACGAAATGCTGAAACAGGGACACGACTAGAATAACTGCAGCCACGAGTCTTGATGAATCCATATTGGATCAATGATAGCCGGTCGATAACAGCCAAGCACTGAATGAATTGGAGCTTCAGGCGAAGCTCTCACATTTCAAGGCACAGGAGTACTTGGTGGTGAGCGGACTCTGAATCCATCAATTACTGTACCTGACTACATCAGTTCAAACCCAACCCTGCTGCTGCCGCCTGTTCTAGTAGTGTAACGCTAAAAGCGTTCGCCTTTTTTGTCGAGCAACAGAATGGCTGAAACCAGGTCCCTAGACTCCTTGGACCGCATGACGTCCGAGTCTCGTCAGAGCACCGCAATAGCAGCAAAATACACAGAACGTCTCCATTACTCTTTCCTCGATACACAGAGCGTGGATGGATGTACGGTTCAGTTGGTTGGTGAGGTTGGACTTCAAAAATCGGCAGACTTCGTCTGCAGTAACCAGTGTTTCGAGAAACCCCTCTAGGGAATCGGAAATGTTGCGCGACAAATTCAGGTTTGACGAAAAAAATCAAATTCGCTCTCACGGAAACACCCCGGGGAGTTTTTGGGTTGCGTAGCAACCCTATATAATCTATTTCATCTTTTGGGGATATCATTTTCAAGAGTGATTTTTACAGCACTCTTTGGAGCACCTGCTTGAAAAGAATGCTTCGAATCTTGAATAAAAATCACTCATGAATGAGGTCTCCCAAAAGTGAAACCTATTACATATCATGTTGAAACCATGATTTTTTTCCGGCCGTCCCAGCTCGTCGATTAATACGGCGGATGGTACGATCGAACATGGCATCAACATGAGCGAATGCATTTGTACAAATGAACACGGTATGAACTGTGATGCGAATGCTTCAAAAAATGTTACAATGTATCAACATAGCAATAGAGATTGATGGGGCCGTTGAAACAGCGAATACACGCTGCACCAACGACGATGACAACCTCTAGTTGTATACATGATGCATTGGAACACCCTGCCTTGGAACATGCACATCACACAAACATGAAATGCAAACGTCACGAAAAAAAATTTGTGACGACATCAAAATGGATGTTAATATGCACCAATGCTACAACTGATATTGATGGGGTCGTTGAGACAGTGAAAACGCACTGCGCCAACGACAATGACAACCTCAGCTGCAAAGACGATGCATACCAACACCACACTCTAGAGTAATCACAACCAACTGACACACACACAGCACACCCACCCACGCACAAACGATATACACACATACAGACATGCACTGACGCACATATGTATATATACACACACACATACATACAACGAGGAGAGAGAGCAAACAAGCACAACAAAGAGTCGAAAAAAGCTGTTAACGTAACAATCACTGCTAGCCTGCTCCTCCTTCCATCCCTTTTCCCCTTCCCTCTTTGTCCCTATGTTTTGCCAAATCTTTCCTTTGCCAAATCTTTCCCTCGCCTTCCACATTCTGCTTCCCACAAAACGGCTTGCACATCCTGCAAAACACAGGTCACGCAAGAAATATACGGCTGTCAGTGGGTGAAGTGAATTATGTAAGGCGCCAGCGCACCACAACAAGGCGCCAGCGCGCTGCAGCAAGGCGCCAGCGCGCTGCATAAAAAACAGTAACGCATGATAGAAAGTGCTATTCAAAATGATGCAATATATTGCTAAAGGATGAATTCGGGAGGCAAATCCAAGTTGACGACTCACACATATGGTTTCAAGGCATCAAGCACACCACCTCAACATGCACGGGATGTATCATCTACAGAAGAAAGTAAAGGGAGCAAAAATGGTACGGTAATGGGGAGGTATTTGCACCAAAAACACACCTAGCGTTCTAGGCGCAAACGCGCCAACTCTTAAAGCACAACATGTCAAGTTTAGGAGTAGAAAGTAAGAATGAAGAAAGGAGGGGTTGCACTAGCAGCAGTTGGCAAACATATAGGAAACCCTAATTAGGTTGTACTCGCTATAGAGTACCCCACTGCAGGCTAGACAATTATAACATTCTGACACACCCCCATAGCCAAAGTGGGGTGTAATCAGCACAATGAGCAAGCATAGCAGTAGTTCACAATTATGAGCAAAGCTAGTGGTAGTCACAGCAGGCAAGCGAGGAGGAGGAGGGACTGTGAGAGGAGAGAAGATGGGGGACGACGGCTGAAGCTGCAGACACACGGGCAACAGGAGCGGCTGGCACAGTGGCTACCGGGACAGCGCCCCGGACTATTGGAGTAACTGGCTCACGGGCTACGAGGAGCTACAGGAGCAACGGACCCACGGGCGACAGGCGCAGTAGGCTCTCTGGGCTACCAGGACAGCGCCCCGGACTACAGATGCTGCGGACGACAAGACGGCAGCCTCCTCTTAGCCTCCCCAAACAGTCCCACCCCCCTTGACACACACCCCTTGCTTCACCCCTAGCTCCACTCCCCCTTCACCCCCCTAGCACCACTCCTTCGGCTCCCCACACACACACCCCCCTGAGCGGCAGCTGCAGCAGCGGGAGACGGAGGAGGAGGAGGAGTAGGGGACGGCGCACACAACGGGCACCCCCACAACCGCCACCCCCACACTCCTCAGCCCAAAACCGTAAAACGGGTTGCAAGGGTTAGGAGCGCGGGGGGAAAGCGGGGGGGACGGCGCGCGGCCCCCAGGGCGCCACCACGGGGCAGCAGGGGGGCGCGCGTGGCTCCTCAGGGCGGCGCGACGGGGCAGCAGGGGGTCGCGCGCGACTCCCTTGGGCTCCGCGACGGACGGGCAGGGGCAGCGCGCGGCTCCCCAGGGTGCCGCGACGGACAGGTTGGGGCCGCGCGCAACTCCCCAGGGCGCCGCGACGGACGGGCGGGGGCAGCGCGCGGCTCCCCAGGGTGCCGTGACGGACGGCCGGGGGCAGCGCGCGGCTCACCAGGGGGCGCGAGGAAGAAGAAAGGGCCGCGCGCCCCCCGGGCGCACGCCACACAGGAAAACCGCCGCGCACATCAGACGCGCGGTGGGAAGGAAGAAAGGGTAGCGCGCTCGGGGCGCGCGACAGCAGTAGAGCAGCGGAAGCTTTAGGTGGTGGGCCCACCCACAGGATCGACCCAAGGGGGTCGACCTGCTCTGATAGCATGTCAAGTCTAGGAGTAGAAAGTAAGAATGAAGAAAGGAGGGGTTGCACTAGCAGCAATTGGCATACATATAGGAAACCCTAATTGGGTTGTACTCGCTATAGAGTACCCCACTACAGGCTAGACAATTATAACATTCTGACACAACAAAGTTGTCCACGACATCAACGCCCATGGTGCTACTACTGCCAGCGCTCTGTCAGAACATATAGCTTATGCATATTGTGTAGGCTATAGTGGGGTAGCCCATAAGGGGTACAACCCAATTAGGGTTAGTACTTGTACCCAACTCATTCATAGTTCATTCATTCTCGTTTCAGTTTTCTCATGGTATCGAGCAGGTTCCCTCGTGGGAACTGTTCCTAGGGCCCTACTACTGCTTCCGCTGCTACTCGATCTGTTGCACGCCCCGTGGCGTGCGACCTATTTTGGCGCGCGGCGATTTTCTTTCTGGCGCGCGCTCCGAGGCGCGCGACCCCGCTACCCCGTCGCGCCGCCCTAGCGGCCGCGTCGCGCCGCCCTCGCGGCCCCGATCCACCGCCCTAGTGGCCCCGTCACCTACCCCTGCGGCCTCAGCGCCGCTCTTCCCGGCCCCGGCTCCGCCCTTCCCGGCCCCGGCGCCTCCTCGGCTGGCCCCGTCGCCTACCCCGGCGACCCCAACGCCGCCCTTTCCGACCCGGCCCCGCCTCTGCAAGCCCCGTCGCCTGCCCCTGCGGCCCCGGCTCCGCCCTTCCCGGCCCCGGCGCCACCTCGGCTGGCCAAGTCGCCTACCCCGGCGACTCCAACGCCGCTCTTCCCGACCCGGCCCCGCCTCTGCTGGCCCCGTCGCTTACCCCTGCGGCCCCGGCGCTGCCCTTCCCGGCCCCGGCGCCACCTCTGCTGGCCCCGACGCCGCCTTTCCCGGCCCCGATGCAGCCCTTCCCGGCCCCGTCGCCTACCTCCCTGGCCCCGGCGCCGCCCTTCCCGGCCCCGGCGCCGCCTCTGCTGGCCCGGTCGCCTACCCTGCGGCCCCGGCGCCGCCTCTGCTGGCCCCGTCGCCGCTCCACCCGGCCCCGCCGCCGTCCCCAAGCGGCCCCGCCGTCACCACCGAGCCGCCGGCGCCGCCGAGCTAGTGCCGAGCCACCCGAGCCACCCGAGCAGCACGAGCCGCAGCGCCACCTCAGCCGCCCAAGCCGCCGGGTCGCGGAGCCGCCGAGCTGCAGTTGCTGCCAAGCCGCCGTACCGCTGAGCCGCCCGAGCCGCTGAGCCGCCCGAGTCGCCCGAGCCACCGAGCTGCCCGAGTTGCCCGAGCCGCCGAGCCACAGTTGCTGCAGTGCCGCCGTGCCGCCGAGCCGCCCGAGCCGCCCGCACCGCCGAGTCGCCGAGTCGTCGAGCCTGCTCTTCCCACCACTGGTGAGTTCCTGCCTTACTAGCGCGCTGCCTGCCGCTTGCTTGGCTGCCTGCCTTACTGCTGCTACTCCTGCTCCTGCTTCTACTGGCGGAGCCAGATGCAGCCCCAGCGACGTCCGCGTGAGTCCCTCACGCCCCAGCAGCTGCGTGAGTGGTACGCTGGTTGGGGTTGTAGGGGTGGCGGCGCTACTACTGCTACTACTACTGGCAGCGGCCAGATGCAGCTCCAGCAACGCCCACGCGCGTCTCTCATGCCCCAGCAGCTTCGTGAGTGGTACGCTCAGAGTAGAGGGTCTCTCAGATCTGTTCGCTGCTCTTACG